TGACAACTCAGCTACCACATCCGCGCCATGTACTGCCACATGTGAAGCCACACCAGTAACGGCTCAGCTGACACGTCATCATCCCAGTTAGCCAAAATTTTTGAAATTGTTAGGAGGCCCCTAAAAGCTTAGGAAATTGTATTTCAGCCATTAATCCTGCTAAAATTATAATTTAGCCCCTGAAACTTCATTAAATTGCAGTAAGGTCCTAGGAGTTTGGGGAAATTGTAATTTGGCCCCTAGATTTGGAGAAATTTTGTTGAGGTCCATGGAGAGGTAGAAGAAGTGCTTTCCTAGCTAAATCAACCATTCCGGACACAACTGCGGATTCTGTTTTTTGACATTCATACCTAAATTTTCTATAAAGTTTTTAGGAGCTTAGAATTTGTCATGTTCCAGGTATTTCAAGTGTCCGTTATTGTTTCTATTGGAGATTATTAAGTAGTCTCGGCAAAATCTACAGAGATGAGATCAACCAAGTCCACAAGTAACCCAGTGACTACAAGCAACTTTAGGCATTGGACCCCGGTGTCCCATGCCAAGTTTGAAGTAGAAAAGTTTGATGGAAGCAGCAACTTCGGCATGTGGAGATGCGAAGTTAAAGATATGCTTGTCCAAATGACTTGGACGAGATAGAATGGGAGAAAGTGAATCTCCTAGCCTGCAGTTCTATCCGACTTTGCTTTGCAAAAGAGGAAAAGTATGCATTCACAAAATATGATACTGCGAATGAGTTTTGGAAGGCACTGGAAGACAAGTTCATGACAAAGAGCATTGAGAACCAGCTCTTCTTGAAGAAGAGGTTGTTTTGTTTCGACTACAAGAAAGGTATTTCGATGAACGAATACCTGAACAATTTCAACAAAATTATTGCCGATTTGAAAACCCTGGATGTTTAAATCGATGAGGAAGATAAAGCACTGTTAATGTTAAATTCCTTGCCTGACACATATGACCATCTCACCACCACTTTAGTGTATGGTAAAGAAAAGATCAAGTATGTTGATGTTTCAAACGCCTTGGTAAATAATGAGTTCAGAAGGAAAGATAAGTTTGCAAATAGGGACTCAACATCAGAGGCATTGATAGTCAGAGGTAGGACGAATAACAGAAGATATGCAGGGCGAGGAAAGTCTCGCTCAAAATTTAGAAAAAGATCATCAGATAGAAGACTTCTTGCAAAAGACAAGTGTGTTGCTTGGCAAAAGATTGTCCCAATAAAGACAAGAAAGAGGAAAAGGTGAACGTTGCACAAGATGGAGATAATGCTAAGAGATCAGCCTTCACAGTTTCATCACTTGGCCATTATGATGAATGGATTCTAGATTCCGGATGTTCCTACCACATGTGTCCTAACAAGCAGTGGTTCTCGAGCTTAATAGAGTTTGATGGAGGAGTTGTGCTGATGGGCAATGACCAAACTTGCTGAACAAAAGGGATTGGAACAATTCGGTTAAAGATGCATGATGGAACAGTTAGAATTCTTGAAGATGTTCGGTATGTACCAGATTTGACAAAGAATCTCATCTCAGTGGGAATTTTAGACTCCAAAGGTTATAGAGTAACTGTAGAAAGTGGAGTCCTCAAAGTTGTATGAGGAGCATTTGTTGTAATAAAGGGTATTCGAAAGGGAAATTTATATTTCCTAGACGGCTCTACAGTCATAGGAAAGGTAGTTGTCTCTACCAGCTCAAAGGATGATGCGTCAGACACTTCCAGACTTTGACACATGCGCTTAGGGCATACTGGAGAAAAGGCGTTACAAGGGTTGGTAAAGCAAGGCCTGTTGAAACACGGCAAAACAAGGTAGCTTGAGTTCTATGAGCATTGTGTACTGGGCAAGCAAACAAGAATCAAGTTTGGTACTGTTATTCGTTGTACCAAAGGGATTCTAGACTATGTTCACACCGATGTATAAGGTCCTTCCAAAAATGCTTCTTTAGGAGGTAAACACTACTTTGTGTCATTCATTAATGATTTTTCAAGGAGAGTTTGGGTTTACACAATGAAGCATAAAGATGAGGTGTTAGACATCTTCCTTACATGTGAGAAAACGATTGAGACCCAGACAAGTAGAAAGATCAAGAAGCTCAGATCTAACAATGCCGACAAATACACATCAAACCCCATCTTTGAGGTTTGCCAGAATGAAGAGATAGTGAGACATTTCACGGTTAGTGGAACACCACAGCAAAATGGAGCTGCAGAATGCATGAACCGCACTTTGGTGGAGAAAGTCTGGTGTATGCTGTCACATTCAGGATTGAGCAAGGCATTTTAGGGTGAGGCATTGAACTATGCTCGTTATCTTGTCAACAGCCTACCTGTTACAACACTAGATGACAAGACTCCCATGGAGGTATGGTTAGGAGCACTAGCTACTGATTATGATCAGCTATGTATCTTCGGATATCCAGCCTATTTTTATGTTACAGAATCTAAGTTGGATCCTAGAGCCAAGAAAGCTGTTTTCTTAGACTTTAGTGATAGTGTCATGGGATACAGACTCTGGTGCCTTGAATCAAAGAAAGTTGTCACTAGAAGAGACGTTACCTTTGATGAGTCTACAATGCTGAAGCAGCCAAATTCTCAAGAGAATAAGGAAGCATTGAAGAAGTCAATGCAGGTGGAGTTTGAGACTCTAGCAAAGACTGTTTAGCCAGTCAACCATCCTGAAGAAGTCTCAATTGATAGCTTTGAAGAGATCCCGAAGAGAGTTCAGATGAGAATGAAGATCCAGAGGACCCACAATAGTCAAAACCCATTGCAATCAGAAAAGGAAAAAAGGGTTACTAAGCAACCCGATTAGATGACCGATATGGTGGCCTATGCACTTCCAATCATTGAAGAAAATATTCCATGCACTTTCAAAGAAGCCATGCAGAATGCATAAAATGTCAAATGGAAAGAGGCTATGGATGAACAGATCAGATCACTCCATAATAACCAGACTTGGAAGTTGGTGCAACTTCCAAAAAGCAAGAAAGCAATTAAGTGTAAGTGGGTTTACACCAAGAAGAAAGGCATCCTAGGCAATGCCAACATCAGATTCAAAGCTAGATTAGTAGCTAAAGGCTATGCCCAGAAGGAAGGAATAGACTACAATAAGGTATTCTCACTTGTTGTGAAGCACACGTTTATTTGTATCTTACTAGCTTTGGTTGCACAGTTTGATCTCGAGCTCACCCAACTTGATGTCAAAATTGCCTTCTTACATAGAGATCTTGAAGAGGAGATATACATGTCCCAGCTAGATGGTTTCAAAATTGCTGGAAAAGAGAATTGGGCCTGTAAGCTGAACAAATCATTGCACGGGTTGAAACAATCCCCGAGACATGGTACAAGCGATTTGATTGGTTCATGACAGAAAAGAAATACACAAGAAGCCAGTATGATCATTGTGTATATTTTCGTAAGCTTTCTGATGGTTCCTTCATCTATTTGCTCTTATATGTAGATGATATGTTGATTGTATCTAAGAGCAAGGTGGAGATTGATAAACTCAAGACACAGTTGGCAGGAGAGTTCGAAATGGAGGATCTTGGAGAAGCAAAGAAAATTCTTTGCATGGAGATCAAAAGAGACAGAAAGAAGAGCACAGTTTGTCTGATGCAAACCCAATATTTGAAAAAGGTGTTAGATAGATTTGGCATAAATGGGAAAAAAAAAGTTGTGAGTACACCATTGGCCCCTCATTTCAAGCTTAGTGCTTCGATATCTCCATGCACAGAAGAAGAATGGAAGCATATGGCACAGATTCCATATGCAAATGCAGTTGGTGCATTAATGTATGCTATGGTTTGTACAAGGCCTGACATCTCACATGTTGTGAGTATGGTAAACAGATATACGCATGATCCAGGAAAAGGTCATTGGCAGGCAATGAAGCGGATCTTGAAGTACTTACATGGCACAGTTAATATAGGTTTGAAGTTTGAGAGAGATCATAGACTCTGACAGAATCTGGTTAGATATGTGGACTCAGATTATGCTGGTGACTTGGACAAACACCGATCAACAACAGTGTATTTATTTATGCTTGCTAAAGGGCCCGTGAGTTGGAGGTCAATGCTTCAATCAACGGTGGCTTTGTCTACTACGGAGGCAGAGTGCATGGCAGTGACAAAAGCCTTTAAGGATGCTATTTGGCTACATGGGTTGATTGAGGACTTGGGTATTGTTCAGAAGCACGTTGAGGTGTACTACGACAGTCAAAGTGCCATTTGTTTGGCAAAGAACCAGGTTCATCATTCCCGCACCAAGCACATTGATGTCTGTTTCCATCTCGTCCGAGAAATTGTGAATAAACGGGATATTCTGCTTCAAAAGATTAGTACTGCATATAATCTGGCCAATATGCTCACAAAAGTGGTTTCTAGGATCAAGTTCCAACACTGTTTGGACTTGGTCAACATTTCTCGGAACTGAGCACCTTCAGGTGCATGGTAGTGTTGATTGATTACTATGTTGGATAGAGAATCCTCGCCAAGGAGGAGATTTGTTAAAGATTGGCTCAGATTTTCTTTGCCAACAATGGCTGCTAATTGAAAACAAATAAAAAAGCTAGAGATTCAGCCGAGCTACTCATGGTAGGGTAGCTAATCTTGTTGGTGGTTGCCTTTAATGTTGTCGGTGGCTTGGCTTTCCCATTGCATCTATAAATGGGTAGTGCTAGTGTCTTCTCTTCCTTCATTGTTGTAATTTTGCATTTCTGTCCATATAGTAAATCCGTTACTCGTGGACGTAGGCGATTTGCCGAACCACGTAAATCTTTGAATGTTCTTGCTTGTGTGCTTGTGTGTGATTGTTTTCTGCCTCCCAGGCACAACAATCTCTTTGTGAACAAAATTTATGGCCAAATTCCGGCATGCATGTTGAGCACAAGTGTAGAAACTCTAGAGATTATACGTTTTCAAAGAAACTATCTAACAAGCTTTAAGCAACATCTAGATATCCTTCCATGGGATAATTTAATTATTTTGCACCTTTCTTATAACATAATGAAAGGACCACTACTAATTCCACCACTATCCATCCAATCCTATCTTGTCACATACAACGAATTAACAAGAGAACTTCCACCATTGATCTGTCAATTGAGATCTCCTTACACACTTGATTTGTCTAATAACAATTTGACTGGAACTATTTCGCCATGTTTGAGTAACTTAAGTGATTCTCTGTTAGTTCTAGATCTCAAAGACAACAACTTTCAAGGTCCCATTCCTCACTCATACAAGAAAGGAAACAAATTGAAAATGATTGACTTTAGTGGTAATAAATTACAGGGGAAGGTGCCAAGATCATTAGTAAGTTGTACTGAGCTTGGGATTCTTGATCTCTCACATAATTTGACTGAAGATACATTTCCTTTTTGGTTAGGAGATCTTACAAAGTTGCAGGTTCTTATCTTGCGATCCAACAAATTCTATGGTGCAATTGAGAGTCCTAAAATCAAGCTAGGGTTTCCAAATTTGCGCATCATTGACCTCTCTCATAATGGTTTTATAGGGAATTTGCTAGCAAAATACTTTCAAAATTTGATTGCAAGATCATTAGCAAGTTGTACTGAGCTTGGGATTCTTGATCTCTCACATGATTTGACTGAAGATACATTTCCTTTTTGGTTAGGAGATATTACAAAGTTGCAGGTTCTTATCTTGCGATCCAACAAATTCTATGGTGCAATTGAGAGTCCTAAAATCAAGTTAGAGTTTCCGAATTTGCGCATCATTGACCTCTCTCATAATGGTTTTATAGGGAATTTGCTAGCAAAATACTTTCAAAATTTGATTGCAATGAAATTTTTTGATGTCAACAAGGCTACATATATGTACGCACCCATAGAAATTCCCCTAAATATCAGTCTTCCATGGATATCTATATATTACTTCAACATGAATATTACAAACAAAGGTGTAAATACAGACTACAAGTGGATCCTAAATATCTTCACTGCCATTGATCTTTCAAGAAACAAATTTGAAGGGGAGATTCCAAAATTTTTTGGAAACCTCAAGGGGTTCAAGTTCTCAACCGTTCCAACAATGACCTTAGTGGTAGAATCCCATCATGCTTGGGAAACCTAACAAACCTTGAATCTTTGGACCTTTCTCAAAACAATCTCTCAAGAGAAATCCCTCAGCAACTATCACTTCTCACTTTCCTTGAATTTTTAAATGTGTCAAATAATAATCTCACTGGACCCAGATTTATGTGGGCAAGAAAGGAGTTGGATGAGGAAGGAATCAAATTTATTTGGGAACTTAGGATTTTTAGGAATTAATATGGTATTAGGTTCTGATGCTTTAATAATAAAGTTTTTTTTATCCAAAAAAAAAAAATCGTATTAGGTTATTATTAAAGATTGTATTAATATTTGGTTGCCTATGTATCAATATTTATTTTCCTATTTGATTACGTCTCTTTGTCTTATAAATCAAGAGTGAGGCCACTTTCTCCTTATCTTTTCTGTGTAGTTAAATGAATAGCTATGTTAGTTTGTTTCTTGACAACTTTGAAGGACAATATTTCTTTGTACGTTTTCTATAGGGATTATTAAGAAATCGAGAGATTGTTGAACGAAGACAAGTTTTGTGCATGTTAGCATGGCATGGAGTAGGCATGTTCTTTGAGCTATGATTAGTTTCCATATGGCTTCAAGGTTGTGTAATTTGAACATTTTGGGTATATATCTGTAGAACATTTTTCAAAATTATGATTGTCTGCATCGTAATCTTTCACCCAAGTTATTTTCCAAACAGTAGAATTATCCATGATTACAAAACACGCTTTAGCAGGAAATAATTGCACAACAGTAGAGAATTACAAACATAAATGAATATAATTTACTCATTTTATCTTGTTTTCCAATCAACACATTATACATCAGAAATGTTGGGTATACCTCTTTATTGATTTATTAAAATATTTAGTTTGGTTTGGGGTTGGTTATAATATATTTTTAATATATTATACCCAACTTTTGGAGGCCCAATGATTATTTAATAATCTGTTTGGTAACAACTAGGGTTTTGATAATAAAGTTCAAGAACCAACAATATATATATATTGTTTATGTTTCCGAGAGGCTGTGCTAGAACAATTGGAAATTCAATTCGATTGAATCAAGCTTTTTCGATGAGTGCTGCGGTAGTGATATCTTGACAGAGGCTTGGGAGTTTTGTCTATGTTTAGTTATTCGGCTAATTTGGGTCTATAGTTTTGGGTCTTCTTCAACTCTAATTTCAAAGACTTTTGTTCATCTATTTGGTGAGGTCTTTTCTCATGTTTATTTGTAATTATTTGGAATTCACCTAAGAGTGGTTTTGTGAGACCATTCGTGTCACGTTTGTAATCGTTTGGAAACTATTGGTTGATAATGGAATCGGATTTCGATCTCGTGGACGTACCTTACATTGAGGGAACCACATAAAATTATTCTGTCATTGTTGATTTGATTTGATTTTTCCGCATTAGTTTTCATTCCCATTGCTTGATTTACTTGTGAGAAATCGTCGATTTTCCTTAACATCTGGTATTAGAGCTTACGGTTTATTTGGGTTTATTTATTTATATAAATTAATATATGGGAATGTGGGTCATACGTCTAGCTTCAATGGAAGCAATTAGGTAACTTGAAAAATTAAAATGGAGGACCTATTATTTTGTAAAGATTTGTATGGGCCTATTGAGGGTGATAGTGGCAAACCCGATGGTATGAAAGATGATGAATGGAATAGGCTTAATCGAAAAGTCGTTGGTGTTATCTGTCCATGGATTGATGACAGTGTGTTTCATCATGTTACTACTGAAACTTCGGCACATAATTTATGGAAAAAATTAGAAAGTCTTTATGATAGAAAACCAACCACAATAAAGCTTTTTTGTTTCGTAAGTTGGTTAATTTAAAATATAAAGATGGCAGCCTTATTATAGAACATTTGAATGAAATAAAGAGTATTGTTAACCAACTTGCTTCTATGAAAATTGTTTTGATGATGAGTTGCAGGCTTTGATGCTACCTAGTTCTTTGCTCGAAAGTTAGGAGACTTTTGTTGTGAAAGTTAGTAATTCGGCGCCCGATGGAGTTATCACAATAAGCCAAGTCACAAGTAACTTGTTAAACGAAGAAACTAGAAGAAAATCAACGGGTTTCTCTCATTCAGAAGCATTTGTTATGAGGGCCAAAGAAAAACAAGGGGGAGAAGTAAGACTCCTAATGGTCGTGATCAAAGTCGTGACAAATCAAGAAATGATTCTTTTTCAAAGAAAGACAACGCGTGCTATTATTTCCATGAGAAAAAAGGGCATATGAAGCGGGAATGCCAAAAGCTCAAGAACAAGGAGAAAAGGCGTGACAAAAGTGTGGATAAGAAGTAAGAAGACACAACGGCAGTTACTACCGATGATCTCATGGTCGTTTGTGAAGATAATTGTATTAATTTTGTAGGCCAAGAGAGCAATTGGGTGATTGATTCTAGTGCTTCTTTTCATGTGACTTCTTGAGTTGATTTCTTCACTACCTACACTAAAGGAGATTATGGTTCTGTTCAAATGGGTAATGAAGGTTTGTCCAAGATTATTGGCATGGGTAATGTTTACTTGGAAACAAATTTAGACTACAAGTTGTTACTTAAAGATGTGAGGCATGTTCCCGACATTCGCCTCGATTTGATCTCTACCAAGAAGCTAGATGATAAAAGCTCCAACAACAAATTTGGTGATGGAATATAGAAGCTCACAAAGGGTTCTTTGGTGGTAGCTAAGTGCAAGAAGACTCATACACTTTATTCGATGCAAGGAAAAATTTGTAAAGGTGTTGTCAATGCACTTGAAGATGATACTTCTACCGAATTGTGACACAAGTGGCTTGGCCATATAAGTGAAAAGGGGCTACAAGTTTTGTTCAAAAAAGAGCTTATACCCAATTTGAAAGATACGCATCTTAAAACTTGTGTTTATTGTTTGGCGGGTAAACAGCATAGAGTTTATTTTCATAAAAATATTGCTTCTAGAAAAGAAAATGTTTTGGAGTTGATTTATTCAGATGTTTGTGGTCCTTTGAAAGTTAGAATACATAGTGGTGCACTTTATTTTGTTACTTTCATTGATGATTATTCAAGGAAAGTTTGGACTTTTATACTAAAAACTAAATATCAAATTCTAGATGTATTTAAGCATTTTCAGGCCATGGTTGAAAAAGAAACAGCACATAAATTGAAGTGCATCCGAACAGACAATGGTGGTGAATACATTGGGCCATTTGATGAGTATTGTCGCAGCCAAGGTATTCGGTACCAAAAGATAATTAAGAAGACTCCTCAACAAAATGGCGTTGCTGAGAGAATGAACCGTACCATTATGGAAAGAACAAGATGTCTGCTTTCACATGCTAAATTGCCAAGATCCTTTTGGGGTGATGTAATGAGGATAGTGGTTAACGTGATTAATTTGTCTCATTTCTATCCTTTGAATGGTGATGTTCTAGAAAGAGTTTGGACCAGCAAAGATGTGTTTTATGAGCATTTGAGAGTGTTTGGTTGCCGAGCCTTTATTTACATTTCCAAGAATAAGAGCTCCAAGCTTGATAGTAAGTCAAGACAATGCATTTTGCTTGGTTGTGGGCATGATGAATTTGGTTATAAATTGTGGGATCTGATTGACAAGAAAGTCATTCGAAGTCGTGATGTTGTGTTTCTTAAAGACCAAACAATTGAAGACTTTGGCAAAGGTGATCAACAGGAGCCAAAAACTAGTGATCTCATTGACATGGATCCATCTCCTTCATCTCCAGTTGATGATGAAAATGGGGGAGATGTGCAGCCACCTATTGAAGATGTAGAGGATAATACTAATCCTACTGAACTTGAGCCGGAAATTGAAGAAGAGCATCGAACTCATAAACCGCCACCATAACTTGAGTTGAGGAAATCTACAAGGGACCGACAACCTTCAAGAAAGTATCCTTCCAATAAATTTGTGTTCATTTCCGATCAAGGAGAGCCTGAGAGCTACCAAGAAGCAATTGAGCATGCAAAGAAAGATGATTGGAAAAATGCCATGGAAGAGGAGATGAATTCTTTACTTGAAAATCACACTTATGATTTAGTGAAGTTCCCTAAGGGAAGGAAAATTCAAAAAAAATAAGTGGGTTTTCAAATTGAAGAATGATAGAAAGCATCTGAGGTACAAGGCACGTCTTGTTGTGAAAGGCTTCGGGCAAAAGAAAGGCATTGATTTTGATGAGATTTTCTCGTCGGTTGTGAAGATGTCTTCTATTCAGGTTGTACTTGGCATGGCCACAAGTATGAACCTTGAAGTTGAGCAACTTGATATGAAAACCGCATTTCTTCATGGTGACCTTGAAGAAGAAATTTACATGGAGCAACAGGAAGGCTTTGTGGAAAAAGAGAAAGAGAAATTTGTTTGCAAATTGAATAAAAGTTTATATGGCCTCAAGCAAGCCCCGCGGCAATGGTACAAAAAAATTGACTCTTTCATGATGAATAATGGTTTTTCTAAAACCACTTCGGGCCATTGTGCGTTTATGAAAACTTTTCCGGATGGTAAATTTATTATTCTTTTGCTTTATGTTGATGACATGTTAATTGTGGGTCAAGATTAGGTTGTCTCAAGAAAGCTACATTGAAAACGTTCTTGAGAGGTTCAACATGGATAAAGCAAAGTCGCTTGGTTATCCACTTATGAGTCACTTCAAGCTTAGTTCAAATCAATGTCCTACAAGTGAGAAAGACAAGGAAGAGATGCAGAAAATTCCTTATGCTTCAGCGATTGGTTCCTTGATATACGCCATGGTTTGTACAAGGCCAGATATTGCTCACGCCGTTGGTGTAGTGAGTCGTTTTCTCCCTAATCCAGGTAAAGAACATTGGGCAGCGATAAAATGGATTCTAAAATATCTTCGAGGGACTTTGAAGGTGTGTTTGTGTTTTGAGGATGGTAAACCGATGCTTGATGGGTTCACAAATTCTGATATAGCTAGTGATGTTGATTCTAGAAAATCTACTTCGGGGTATTTGATGACTTTTGCAGGCGAGTTATGGCATGGCAATCTAAATTACAAAAATGTGTTTCTCTCTCAACTACCGAAGTTGAATTTATTGCCATTACTAAAGCTTGCAAAGAAGAGTTATGGTTGAAATTTTTTTGCAATGTTTGAAGCAAGAAAAGTATGTGCTTTATTGTGATAGTGAAAGTGTTATTCATTTGAGTAAAAATTTTACTTTTCATTCGAGATTGAAATACATTGATGGAAGATACCATTGGATTCGTGATGTGTTAGATTCGAAATTGTTGCAACTCGAAAAGGTACATATGAATGATAATATTTCAGATATGTTGACTAAGACTTCGTTAAGGGACAAACTTTTGAAGTGTCAAACTTTGGCGGATATAGTTGATGTCTCCACTAAGTCGGTAGGGGGAGAATTGTTGAGTATACTTCCTTATTAGAGTATGGAATCCAATTGATTTATTAAAACATTTAGTTTGGTTTGGGGTTGGTTATAATATATTTTTTAATATATTATGCCCAACTTTGGGAGGCCAAATGATTATTTAATAATCTGTTTGGTAACAAGTAGGGTTTTGATAATAAAGTTCAAGAACCAACAATATATATATATATATTGTTTATGTTTTCGAGAGGCTATGGTAGAACAATTGGAAATTCAATCACTACAACAAAAAAGAGTTTTTACAACGCGCAATGTACGCCGTAAAAACCCTTCTATGACGTACGGGCGCACATCATATTATGACCAGTCATGAAAAGCCATTCACTTTCAATGTACGCTGTTAAAAACTATTTAACAGAAAATTTTGTGCGTCATTACTTTTTCTACGACATACTATAGTACGCCGTTAAAAATTATTTAATGACAGATTTTGTGCATCGTTGTTACTTTTTCTACGACTACTTTTACACGCCGTTAATTGGTGAGACAAATAACGACATTGATTGCGCACCGTAAAATATGTAATACGACTTATTATGCCTATCGTAGAATATGTTTTTTTTTTTTTTTTTTAAATTCAACAAGTTCTATTTGACCAATTTTGTACAATATAACAAATATGATAAACAAGTATCACAAAACATCAATCAACCACCAAAATATTATTTGAAACATCAAAAAGAAACTATATCCATAAATTAGAAACATTCAACAATTGTCTATACATTTCAAACATTCGAAAACTATATCCTTAAGTTCTAAACTGTACAAAAAATTTAAACCATCCAAAACTATACATATCTAACTTTCTAAACATATTAACTATTAAGAGATTATCTAAAACTAACGACAACAGTTCCTATAGCAGTTGCAGCTGTAGCTGTAGCAAACCCACTTGCTCCTATCACAAGGACGAAGGTGCCAAATGTATGTGTTGAGACACCTAAACGCGCAACAATAGCTGAAGCAACTAACCCTGTTGCATTTCTTGTCTGCATGACAAAAGAAACTTCACAGAAGTACAAAAATCGAGAACTCAAGAACAAAAATATTTCTTGAGGTATTAAGAAATAATCAAGAAATTTTAAATCAACAAAACATTTTCAAAATTAATAAGATAATTCAATGGCTCCATAAAAGTAATGTCATTATGAAAATTAGCAAAAAATTCAATATCTCAATAGTTTCAACGTATATGCAAATAAAATCAACATAAAGCAAAACCTTTTTTTCCATGCCTCAAATGAAATTACCTCTTTTGTTGCAATGTTTCTAGAGGGAAATGAGTAGGAATCTTCAAACAAACTATTAAGTTTGTACAAGAAAATATAGTTTGCTACTAAATCCAAGCCATAAGAAGCTCAAAAGAAAAATTAAATTTAAAAAAAGAAAGAGATCAAATTAATCTATTTCAATGTAGCACCTACTCGGGACTTGTATAATTATGTTAAAGGATCTCTATGTATGAGGTTTAGGCTTGTATAGGTTTTATCCATTACCATTGTAAGTTCCAAAATAAGGAGTCCAAGTCAAATTAGAGTCTATATGTATAATGTTAGGACAGTTAATGAGACATGAGATTGTTTAATAATTGATCTAAGAGTTCTGAACTTGTGAATTAGGAATCTACGATAACGATCTTTAGTGCACAATTTGTCTATAACAAAGCATTATTTGGCACAAATTTTTTGTATTTTTCTCCTTTTCCCTGATATTAATAAAATTTCCTTCTTTGTTACTAATTAAAAAAATAAATTTTATTTATTTATCTAATTCCAACTTTAAAAAATAAAAATTGGGAAAAGAAGAACAGCCAAACAAGAATCAGATGACTTCGTAACAATTCACATTAACTAGACTATGGCATTCCGAGAATAGTTCTTTGTTAAATCAGCTAATGCAGCTAAACTTACAGGAAGTGTCTCCCATATTGCTTCACCACTCATGCTTTCATCATCTCTAGGCAATAGAGCCTTACACATTCTGTACAAGGAAGCACCTCAGTAATAGGAATGATCCATCATTAATTTACAAGATAGACAGTAACATGATTTCAACAATTTGAGAATAAAAATTAGTAAATTCATTGGTTTATCTAAATCAATTAACTGCTTATCAATTAATTAATAGTGCCAGTAATAATGGCAGTAACAACAGCATCTGCTATAGTAGTTTTTAGGCAATATTACATTTGAAATTCTAAGCACCTAAGAAATTGTTCCCAGAGAAATAGGCCAATTTTCAGCAAATTAATAGAAATTTTGAACAATGCCAAGTGATTAATTGATTATTCAATCAATTAACAAATCAACTAATCCATTTAGCAATTTAGCAATTGAACAATCTAATCTATCAATTTCACCAAATAAAGGACAATCAACCATGAGACAACATATTTGGTGTGGAAACTCTACGCAAACCCCATTCTATGAATTAATATGGGAGAATAATGGTTATGAATTAATGGTTATGAATCCAACACCCAAAATCAATCTACTATAAGGTAACAACAATAATGGTTATGAATTAATGCTAGAGAAACACCTAAAATTGTCCACTAGGATGGTTATTTCAAATGCCAGCAAAGGAAGGAAGACAATCTTCAAGTTTACAGCTGCAAAACCATTGACTGTACAAAATAACATAATTTACTATTCAAAAAAGACAGAGTTCTTATAAGAGGAATTCATGTTTTAGTCACAAACAAGCATAAAGCTTACAAATAAAAATTATTAGGACAAGGTGAAAAAGAAGTTGAACTCTGGAGTCTGGACCAACTTGCCAGAGTTAGGCACCCAAGTATCACTCATATGCAATGATGGAAAACAAAATAATTAGCTCATACAAAATAAAAGCACTATATTGTAATGCATCAAAGATTCAAAGATTCAACGCACCAAAACAATATTGAATAACAGTGATAGGGTGTTAATTCCCTACCATAGATGCTCTCAAGATATATACAGAGCAGTTCAAAAGCAATAAGCAATGGCATTGCAATGATGGTATGACATGGTGCCCACTGTGCAACAAAAAAAAAATGAAACCTTCATGATGCACATTCAACTATAAGCTGAGAAATTCTAACATCCAAAAAACTAAATACATATTTGTTAAGAATATTTCAAAAAAAGATATTGAGAGGCATGATGCATTACAGTGGGCACATGGAAGCAAAGGATTATTTTTGAATAGGAACCACTTACATTGACATTGTGGCAACATGGAAGCAGAGGATTGGGACAGGTAATGAAAACAGGGGAATTCAAAACTTCTTTCCATTTTCTACCCATTATTTTATAATTGTCTCTTTCCAAATCTGTCATTTTCAGTTTGTGACCTTTTCACTTCATTCCTTGCTCTCCATGTCTTAATAGGCTCCATAAAAGTAATGTCATCTCTTTCGGTGTATGTATATATAAACACTATACTATTATATCTATGCTTCTATCCTATCTATCTATGGTATGAACACTTTTGTCACAATTTTTCTCATTTCTAAACTGTTCTTCTATAACTGTAATTGTCAAATTCAAACAAACCTATGAATTCATTTAATATTTTATATATATGGGAAAACATCTAACCTAATACTGCACATTGAAGGCAAACTTAATACCAGTGTGAATGCACTTACATATCTATATGAAGTTTACTAATATTGGTTGATGTTGGCCTTTAAAGCAGGTTTGATATCATATTTGAAATAGATTCAGATAACAGACAATCAATCAGTAAAGAAACATAGATGGGTCATCAAAATCGCCATTATCCTCTGTTCCTGCTTTTTTTCTTGTTTTCACAGAACTCTCATGCTCATTCATGGAGTTGGTTCTCTCCATCCAAAGAGACTCTTATCGAGAACCTTTCAGAGAATGGAGCAATTTTCAATGACATAGTGGGCGACTTCTCCATGGAAAGTCTGAACAACCGAAAGGGAATCCAACTAGTTGAGAATGCTAGAAAAAAGATGGTTGCATCAAATTTGTGTTGGCAAAATGCTTACCAGAATCTTTTTGCTGGATGTTCGGAGATCCTAGCCAGTGAAGAGAAACGGTCTAGACTTGCTTGGCATCTCAGCAATTGCTTCCAGAAAGACTCTGGCAGGCCTCATTTTCCTCATTGCAACGCAAAATCTAGCATGCTAAAATGCCTCACAAAATTGGACGAGGATGCACGGAAGATCTATCTCGAGTTTTATCTGCCATCAATTACAGTAAAACATATACATATAATTTATGTATATCCAAGTTCATTGGTTTCAGTACAGTCACTGACTAGAATTTTGATTTCATGGTATTGAAGGACTGATGCATTCAAGCGTCAAACAGAGAGATTGGTGAATGAACTAAAAAGTTAGCCCAATTTGCAGAAGACAAATTAGTGACCATAGAAGAGAAAGCAGAGGGTCTGTTGCAGAATTTGCACCTTATACATGATTCTTTGGCTTCGATTGATGTTCAAACCCAACAAGTGGCGAAACTGACGTAGAATGTTGAAGATCAAGTCATGGTATTGAAGGACTGATGCATTCAAGTGTCAAACAGAGAGATTGGTGAATGAACTAAAAAATTAGCCCAATTTGCAGAAGACAAATTAGTGACCATAGAAGAGAAAGCAGAGGGTCTGTTGCAGAATTTGCACCTTATACATGATTCTTTGGCTTCGATTGATGTTCAAACCCAACAAGTGGCGAAACTGACGTAGAATGTTGAAGATCAAGTTAACCTCGTGTTAAGGGATTGAGAAGCAGTTTATGAGCAATGCAAGGAAATTGCAGCTTCTTAGTCAGAATTACAAGAAAAACAAGCAACGACGAAGGACAAGTTAGAAGAATCAATGGCAAAGCTGCATGAATCTTCCAATAAAGTTGGCGAAGAAATAAGTAACTTGAAGAATCAAGCTATTGAAATTGAGGAAGAGATCAGTAAAGTTGGAAATGCAATGTCTTCAAAAATGAACACTCTCCAACAAAGAGCCGATGATATTGGTAATATGGCTGGGATTTCGTTGGAGAAGCAAAAGCAAGTTCTAGATGGGCAATCATTGGCTTTTGAGGGTCTTAAGTCACTAACTAAATTTCAGTTGCAGGCTCTAGAAGAGAATAGGTTAAAAAATCAAAAAAATTCCATCAAGGTCCTCCCTATGAATATTTTATTTTCCTTTCGGTATTTACAGGGGTACTCTGCAAGAATTTGCTGAACTTGGGAATAGACAACAAGAGGAGCTTCTTAGAAGACAAGAACTGCTTCAACATGCCCATGATCATTTAAGTTCAAAAACAATATTGGCAGATCAGGTTGGTGTTTCTATAAACCATTCATTCTTACATTCAAATACCTAAATTACTAGTGCATATTACTTAAAAAATAGGTTTTTTTCTATTGAAACCTCCCTGTCTACTTACAGGAAGCTTTTGAATCAAAGCAAGCAAGCATGTTTGTGGCCTTAGATTTGCTCTTCGCCTTGCACAATGCCATGCTACTTGAATCCCAATTTATTAAAGCTCTCTTCATTTACTCTATCTCAGTCTTCATCCTCTACATGTTCACTAGTACAAAGCAAACCTATGCTGTGAAGAACTTGCAACAATAAGGTATGCGCCGGATGATATTGAACAACAGGCTTGGATAATAAGTGTGGTTAGGTCACTCGCTGTGGTTCTTGCATCAATCCAGCTTCTACATGCTATTTTTACATACAGGTATGTAGAATCAGATGTACTTTGGGTTATAAAGAATGCATTCACAGATCTTAATTCCATAATTATGGCTTGAATATTATGCAGGGATTATGAACTATTAAACTACCAAATGCTAGTAAAACTAAATGAGAATCTCACTGAACAGTTTTATGGCAAGCAAAGAAATAAAGAGGAGTTGTGGGATGTGGACATGGATAGTGAAATGAATTGGTCTTCTTGGGTTGACACTGAGTTACCAGAAGATCTAGACAATCTTGAAGACCTTGACTGCATACTTCCAGAGGAAGTTGAGGAGAATTCAGTTGCAACAACCATAATAACAAAAAAGTACAATCTCCGTAGTCAGCAATATCATCTGTAATCTTATTAGTAATTTCACTAATTTCCCTCAAAAGTCTTGACCTATTTTGTATCTATTTATCACTTGATCTCATTTGTATGCACCAGTAATTTAACATTTTATAAGTTCACATTAAAAATATTCATATTCTATACATGACACTATCCTTCACCAACACCACTATCATATTATATACATTATCACAAATTTCCAGCACAAAAAAGTACAATCTCCGTAGTCAGCAATATCATCTGTAATCTTATTAGTAATTTCACTAATTTCCCTCAAAAGTCTTGACCTATTTTGTATCTATTTATCACTTGATCTCATTTGTATGCACCAGTAATTTAACATTTTATAAGTTGACATTAAAAATATTCTGCTCATCTATTATCCTCTTTTTTAGTTATTTTTTTAATGCATGGGATTCTTGAAATCTAGGAAGAATATAACATTATTTTCTCAGTTAATTCATACTATCATGGATTATTACAGTTCTAGGGGTTGCCACAGCCAAACTAGGTCCATTAACTGGGATATCATTTCGTAACATACACAAGCATTCCAATTACATTTGAAGTCAAGAAAAGGGTACAAAGAATTTAATGATTTTCAATTCGTTTTCAAGTATAACACAAAAGGCAAGAAAACGGCACAATGTACTCAACTGCATTGATGAACATAACACCAATTAAAGCACATAAGAGAATATCAAACTTCAACAAGGATATACATATTTTTTCACATGGTAGTTGTGGCTAATTATCATATGCACTAGCATCATTTGTACCTCCTAAAAGGAACCTAGGTTCTTAAATTACATGCCTGATATATCATATGTCTTTTCCAAATTATATCTATAAAAGGAACCTAGGTTCTTAAATTACATATCTGATATATCATATGTCATTCACTTTCAATAATATGTTCCACAAGCCTTTCTTGCCTTTAACCAAAACCCAAGTTTTTTTTTCTTTGTTTTTGTTTTCTATGATTATTATTTATTACTTTTCTAAAGTTCTTAAGTTCCATGCAAATGACTTTTTTTTCTTTTTTGTATTCATATTGAAAAATCTTGGAGCATTCTTTGTATCACATAATTAGTATGAGATCCCGTAAGCCTCCAAAACTAGAGAAAAAGGCAAGTTGGGTTCCATGTGAGCAGAACTCATAGGCATGTTCTTTCCAAGAAAACAATCACCTTACCAAATAAAATTATAATAATTTTAACAACAACTAAAATAAACAATGTTTTTTTTAGGAAGGTAGGTCCGCAAATAATGTGGCTTGTAGTATATGCTTCTCAAATTCATTGTACTATGCTGAAAATTATTATGCTGCTGCATATGGAGAGGTTATAGTATCTTGGGCTATGCTCAAATATTATAATGCTGCTGCACATGATGGTCAACTAAGAAATGCAAAACAAACATGTAAAGATGTTCTTTTTCCCCTAATTTGATCGCAAATCTATGGAACACACCAAAAGCTTTTATCAACAAAACAATTTGCAAAGTCTTAAAAACTAGTGTTGGACTTATGCAATGCATTGGATAATTAATTTTAAGCAGCCATTTCTTGCTGAATATATATTATAATACATTTAAACCACTACATGACAAATTTATTTTGTAATTCCAACAAACACACCATTCAGTCAATTAAACAAACACATAAAGTGCACAGTTAAGACTAGTACCAGTAACCCAAGAAACCCACATTGAAGATGATTATATCATACTTACATTTGAACAGAAATAGAGAGAAAAATTAGGGCAAAAATGATCTGTGTCAGGTCTCTGTTCAAGAAAATGTTGAAAAGGATGCCAAGGCTAAGAGCAAAAGGAGGAAAACACTTCAAGCCAAAGACCAAGAACCTCCTTCACAAAAGAGATGGTCGAAGAGTGTGTCTGAAAAAATTCAGATTTATGAGAGAGATCAAGAGAACAATTGCGTAGACTCTAAAAGGTCTTACCCAATGCACAATTGCTTTGACTTAGCATCTGAAATTGCTAATTCTAAATCAGTAAAAGATGTGTTTGGTTGGGAGGGTTTACATAGTCATGTCAAAATTCGATGCAATGAAAATAGGACTGGTGATGGAAAGGTTATTCGGAGCAAGCAAAAAAAATAAGAGGACTCGGTTTGAAGAAAGCAATCAGAAATCTACTTTTTGTTTAAAGGAAAGTAATATTCTTGAAGATGCTCGGGATAATTTAATACCTCTGCAAGAGGGCATGCAAGTCAAGACCGGGTTATAAGGCACGATGAAGAACACGATCAAGTTGGAGTGGGAATTTCTCCCTTCAGATCTGCTATGGATGCATCCACAGGAGAATGCATACATCCTAGTGTTTTTAGCAACAAAGCTGCACATGGAAAGGCTGTTGTGAGTGAGTTACAAACCAATATGGTTCTTGTCGAAGGTGAATGTTCAGCAACTCATCAAGATGTAAATTTTAGGAGCACTAAAACTGATATAGTACCTGCTAAAACAACACAAAAGAGAATATCGGGAAGAGGACTTCATGTTTCTGTTAATTTTCGCATGGATTCAGAGAGAAGTGATAGAGAATCAACTTTGCAGAACCACAAAGAAGAGATATCTCAAATTGCGCAATCAGCCCGTTCGAGATCGCCATTCTGACGAGTCCGACGGTAGTCCTTTGTAGACAAAGGTTCTGAAATAGTTGAGGGGAGTGTAGGATTTGGATTCGGCCTTCATCATCGTCATCATCAAAGAGAGAGAGACATTGAAACCCTTGTGATGTTCCATTTTGATTAAAAGGCAGCAAAATAGTTATTTTGGGGGAAAAAAATTTTGGCGCTTCAAATTTCATTTTGGCGCATTTTTTTTTTTTTTATCATACAATTCATGATATGTATTGTGCATCATAAAAATGTAATATTTTTAACGATGGATAATATGTGCGTCGTAAAAAGTGTAATATTTTTAACGACGAGCGTTATGTGTGCTGTGAAAAGTATTCACTTTTTACGACTGGCGTATGTGCGTCATGTATAATTGATGTATTAACGGCACGCCATATGCACGTCGTAGAAAGTTTTATTATTTACGACATGCATTGCAAGCCGTAAAAAAATCATCGTTATTATCATTCACGGTCTACACAATAGACACGCCATGGTTGAAAAAATATTTATGGCGTGTAAAAAAAGCAAGTTGTATAAGTGAGAAACTACGACGTGCATTTATTGTATGTCGTTAATGTAGTGCCGTAAAAAGTCAGTTTTGTTGTAGTGAATTCAGTGGAATCAAACTATTCGATGAGTGCTACGGCAGTGATATCTTGACAGAGGCTTGGGAGTTTTGTCTATGTTCAGTTATTCGGCTGATTTGGGTCTTTAATTTTGGGTCTTCTTCAACTCTAATTTCGAAGACTATTGTTCATCTATTTGGTGAGATCTTTCCTTTCGTTTATTTGTGATTATTTAGAATTCACCTAAGGGTGATTTTGTGAGACTATTTGTGTCTCGTTTATAATCATTTGGAAACTATTGCTTAATAGTGGAATTGGATTTTGATCTTCTAGACGTACCATTCGTATCTCGCTTGTACGTGTCTCATTTGTAATTATTTGAAAACTATTAGTTGATAGTGGAATCGGATTTCGATTCTCTGGACGTACCTCATATTAAGGGAACCACGTAAAATTCTTGTGTCGTTGATTTGATTTTTCCGCTCCCATTGCTTAATTTACTTGTGGAAAATCATCGATTTTCCTTAAGAAGAAGGACGCAGTACATGAGAATCTATAATTATGGACAATTTGTGAAAAGGAAATCATCTACACGAACCTACCATTTATTCTGTTTGTAAGCTGTTCCTCCTTTCTTGTAGTTGATCCCCTGATCCAGCAACAACTCTGTAAAAGTAGTCAACCCAAATGAGATATAAAAAATGTAAGGTGTTATGAGTAGAATATCAGTGCCCCACTTGACCTTATCTTTACATACACAGGGTCCTTTAAAATGAATAAGAACTTTTATGTAATCATTCATGCATATCATATATCCACTCAATTATGATAGCAATATTGCGATCAGGAGAGAGAGAATTAAAAATATGCAAGGTTGATGTTGATATTATCGGTAGTTCATGCCATTACCATGAATCTAAAAAAAACATACTATGACAATTAAGTTGTCAAATTCTGAAGTACAAGTGAAGGATAATCAACTTGCCTCTTTCTCTTTGGCCTTGACGCTTCCATGTCGGCAACTGCGTCAGGAGAATTGGGATTAGCTTTCCTGAGTCCATTAGCTCCTTCTAATGCAACTAAGCTCTCTATGTAAGTACAAACATAAACCGAGTGATAACAGCCATGGACTTCGCGATGCTTGATCTGTTGGCTTTGGGAATCATATGAAACCAACTCATTCTCTTCATCTCCAATCATTAGCACATCACCATATATTCTTCCTAAAACCCGCTACTCTAGAAAATTCTTCCTCCAGAATTATTGTGAATTGTTTAGTCCATGACTCCACGACAACGTATTCTTCCACTACCCATATGTGGAACGTCTTACCGTTTATATTTTGTTCACAGTCGATTATTGCAAGTGAATCACCCAATGCCAGGTCCCTAAACATCTCATCACCCATATCAAAAACCACAACCATCAAAATCCAATGAGCAGCCCCATTCACAAACACAATAAAATGTATCATAACAAAAATGAGCAACACAAATGGATGCTAATGATTTCTGGGAGTCGTGAAATGGGGATTGAAGAAGCTCCACATACTCATGAAATGTACTTGACCAGAAATTGGGTAGGTAATAAAGGAGTACCATGACTTGGAGACTGACCTGGATCCTAGGAAGCATGGATACAGATACGGGATACGGATACGGCGATACGACAAAATTTGAAAAACTAGGATACGGGTACGGCGGGGATACGTTCGTAAAATATATTATTTTAACAATTTTTAGTAATGCAATATGCATAAAAATAAAACCTAAAGCAAAAGACAACTTGATAAAGAAGAAAGATTCCTATAAAACTAAGAGTCTTCAAGGTCAATAGCTTCAACTTGTTCCCTTTCATCAGTGAATATCACAAGACTTTAGCTAAAGCCAAAAAACCATTCTTAAATAAAAATTTCAGCAAATATACTTTTTTAAGTCATCAATGATAGCCTAGGAAGCACGGATACGGATATGGTGATATGGGGATGTGGATATGGCGATATGTCAAAACTTGAAAAAGTATGATACGGGTACAGCGGGGATACATTCATAAAAAAAAATTTATAATTTTAAAAAAATTTAAAATTTAAAATTTGTAATTTCAAACATTCATAAAACATCCAAAACTAAAAGCAAAAGCAAATACAAATTAAACATCATCCTTACATGCCAACATCAAAAAAAGAATGAGAGCAGAGAGAAGAAGCGTGAGAGAGTGAGAAAGCGAGAGAGAAGTGAGAGAGATAAGAAGGATACATCAATTTGACAAATTCTATTACTTTAACTCTCACTATATTCCTTTTATCAAAGAACTAAACAAAATATTATAAGTAATATGTAATTTCGAGTATCCGATACTTCAAAATTAAGTATCCGATACTTCAAAATTAATAAAAAATTAATTAAGAAGTATCCGATACTTTTAAGAAGTATCCGATACGTATTCGCGAGTATCCGAGGAGTATCGGTATCCGATAAGTATCCGATACGGATACGTCACCCTTTTTGAAGTATCCGTGCTTCATAGCCTGGATCGAAGCAGAGACTTCACGTGCAGTCTTCCGTTTCTCTTCTAAGCTTCTTGCACAGTTGTGAGAAGATTGAGACCTAACAATGTTTGGTTTAACTTTAAGAATTTGTTTTCTGAATTAATTTTTTTTTAAAATTAATTTGATAACAATAAATAATAAAAATATATTTTAAAACTTTTGAAAATTATTTATATCCTCTAAAAAATTAAAATTATATAAAAAAATTATATGTATTTTTTAAAATATTTTTTTAATAAAACAACATATTTTGAAAATAAACTAAATAGAGTTAAATAGTTTGTTGTTCATGTATTTTTTTTATTTATTTTTTTTTGGTCTCATCTTAAATTGTCACTCAGATTTTATTACCAGCAAATAATAGAGATTTGCAATTTTAAACTTACTAGTAAATAGTCAATGAGGGGTGTAAATTTGGTCCGGCCCAGCCCATGTCGGGCCTTCTGGACTCCAGTCAAAATTCGGGTCAGACCGGACCACGGGCAAAAAAAAAAAAAAATTAAGCCCAGACCCAGGAGTATTCAGGTCTTAGGTGGGCCGGGCCTCGGGACAGTCCGGTGGGCTTGGCCTCGGGCTTGGGTGGGCCTGAACTTTTTTTTTTGTTTTTTTAAAATTTTTTTACCAAAATTTTATTATTTTCAACCAAAAAAGACACTGGGCCTTTGGGCGTGCCGGGCTTTTAGTGGGCCTTAAGCAGGCCATGGGCCGGGTCGGGACGGGTCGGGCTGGGCTTCAAAATGATGACCCAGGGGCTTGGACTGGGCTTGGACCCGAGTCGGGCCCAAACAGGCTAGGCCCACCCTGAATCGCAGGCGGGGTTTGGACCACCCACGAGCTGCAGACTGTGTTTACACTCGTGCCGTTCATGTTGTCTACTAGCCTTTTGAGTTAAAATTAGATAACAGTAAATTTTTTCATTCAAGTTAGAGGTAATTACATATGAATGATTTTAAATTTCTTTGACTTTATCTCACAATATAAATGAGAAAGTTGTGAATATATTATTTTTTAGAGATTTTTATTGATAAATCCATTCTAGAATTGTTATAACCCATTAGGTCCACTAAAGAATATTATAACCTAATTAGTCCCATAAACTTTTCTGGATATTCCATAAGGTCCATTTTTCTAATTTAATATAATTTCTTGGACTATTTTGCCCCTGTATATATATATGTACAGTGTTAATACGTAATAGGTGCCTGTTTCTTTGTTCATGCAGTTTGGCAGTTTCTATTTTACGCTTTTCATCATCAATCCAATTCCGAGAGATACGTTTATGTTTTACATGCTCGTTGCAAGGATTGGTTGTGCCAGGGTTTCATCCTTGCTGTTGGAGTCTGGTTCTGTGGTTTGCGAGTGAAGACGACGAAGAGGAGGGTGTTCGGTTGTTACATTTGCCGGATTATAACTAGTTCAAATCAGTTTTTTTCAACTTTCTGTACGATTGTAAGATTGCATGATCAAGGTTAGTATCAATTTGGTTATGAATACATGTTCAGTTTATGGTTTCATTCGTATAATGGATCAGATGCTATGTTTTTGGATTTATATGGATTGAATGCTCTGTTTTTTCAATTATATGCATTTTACGTGGTTATGTGGAGGGGAGTTCATTCGTATTATGTGAAGATTGTGTAGTTCTCATTTGACTTCGATGCATGCGTAATGAGGCTCTGTGTGGATGATTTGATTATCAGTATATACATCAATGTGAATCTGTACATTTTGTGAATGTGGAATATGTGAAGAATGTGGATGTTCTCATTTTAAATTGATGTTTGCTTAATGAGGCTCTGTGAAGATTGTCAATATTATGTGAAGATTGTTAATGTTCTCATTTTACTTTGATGCTTGCTTAATGTTAACATCTTGTTAATATCAATGTGAATGTTTACATCATCATAAACTGATGTGAATGTTCACATCATTATACACTGATGTGAATGTTTACATCATCATACACTGATGTGAATGTTCACATCATTATGCACTGATGTGAATGTTTACATCATCATACACTGATGTGAATGTTCACATCATTATGCACTGATGTGAATGTTTACATCATCATACACTGATGTGAATGTTCACATCATTATATTATGTGAAGATTGTTGATGTTGTCATTGGACTTTGATGTTTGCTTAATGTTGACATCTTGATAATATTAATGTGAATGTTCACATCTTCATATTGTGAATTATGGATTTAGCACTTGAACTGTACACGTAGTCATCTATTTTTTGCACAATGTGAATTTTCATATCGATTTTCATTACTGTTCATTGTTGTGTTTTTGTGTTTTTACAGGAGATGGATACCTTTATGCTATTGGTGTGTACATATGGTTGTAGTACAACTGTAATAAATGTTGCCCGTGCAATGTGTTATTCTCGTTTGGTGGAGTGTTTGTGTGAGAAATGGGATGAGTTGTCTGCTGGTTCTATTTCATTGTTCTGTAAACTACCTGGGATTAATAAGTGTCATTTGGACAATGAGGAAGAATTTCAGAACATGGTACTGCTTGCTAAATCAATGGGGGTACAACATGTAGAAGTTGTGGTTGAGTTGAAGGGTGATATTGGTCAGTCAAGTAGTTTGGGATTGCTGCGTGTGGGGGTTGAGGATGAAATTGATGCACTACGGAGATTTTGCCATCATAAGGAGAAGGTGTTGTTGTCAGCCCCTTGGGCAAATGGTATTACGCATGTAGGACAACGGTTTGTTGGAGGTGCACAAGAATTTCGTGACGTTTTATGTAAGTATGCCATCCAATGTGGGTTTAAGTTCACATACGTGAAGAACGAGACAACAAGAGTTACTGCTGTGTGTGCGATGCGGGAGGAGAGGAGGTGCTTGTGGGCTATACATTGTAGAGCACAACGAGCAAATGATTTTTTCTACATCAAGAGGTTTAATGATGTGCATACTTGTGGTACGGATGTTCGAACATCGAAGAATCCGCAAGTTAGTTCGGATTTGGTGTCGAGTACCATATCTGAAATTGTGAGGGACAAGCCGTTGACTCGGCCGTGTGAAGTGGTGACTATTTTGAAGAGGGATTATGGGCTAGATGTGAGTTACCATGTCGTATGGTTGGGTGTGGAGAAAGCAAAGGCTGGTATCCATGGAGATCACTCGTTATCGTTTGACCAGTTGCGGTGGTATTCGAATGCTGTGATGCGGTATAATCCGGGGAGTTATTCAATATTGACTATGATGCGAGTAGTCAACAGTTTTGTCGCTTCTTTGTGTCATTCGCTGCGTGTATTTCTGGGTTCAATGCTTGTCGGCCTTTATTATTCCTGGATGGAACATTCCTCAAAGGAAAGTACAAAGGTCAGCTACTTGCGGCAACGACGAAAGACGGGAACAATGGTTAGAAGTTTTTTTTACCTGTCTATTCATGTCAATATTCACTCTAAGCAGCGTAATCTGGACGAAAGAGTGATTGCTAAATTATAAGTAATGTGAACATTGACATTAGTATGCACTGATGTGAATGTTCACATTATTCCTGGATGGAACATTCCTCAAAGGAAAGTACAAAGGTCAGCTACTTGCGGCAACGGCGAAAGACGGGAACAATGGTTAGAAGTTTTTTTTACCTGTGTATTCATGTCAATATTCACTCTGAGCAGTGTAGTCTGGACGAAAGAGTGATTGCTAAATTATAAGTAATGTGAACATTGACATTAGTATGCACTGATGTGAATGTTCACATCTTTGTATGCTACTGACAGAAATGTGAACATTTACATTATTACAGACTGATGTGAATGTTCACATCAGTGTATACTAATGTTAGTTGATCTATTAATGAACAGTACTGTGAATGTGTAACATTGTCAGTGACTCAACAATCAACAATGAATTATTAATGGTCGTTAATGTGAATGTTCACATCGTTGATGTTTATGAACCTGAATCCGAAAACAGCAATAGTAAAGAGGGCAATGTACATATGAACATTCACATGACCTGTTTCGTTTATACTGTTTTTCTATTCACTTTGGAATATTGTGAACAGTTGTGTATTGGTGTTTGTTGTGTTGTAGGTCTGTTTCCTGTTGCATTTGCAATTGTTGATTTGGAGACCACAGCTAATTGGTCGTGGTTCTTGCATGAACTTGGGAAGGTTGTTGATGGGAAGTGCCATATAACTTTTATTTCAGATCGTAATCTTGGTCTGTTAGAAGCTATGCCAAAGGTGTTCCCATCGGCTCATCACGGTTATTGCTTACAACACTTGAAGAGCAATTTAAGAGACCGGATGAAAGGAATTGATAATGGATTCAGGGATCACCTAGTAAGGAGTTTGGGTGACTGTGCCTACGAGCCAACTGTGGTAGGGTTCCATGAAAAGCTTGCAAAATTAAAAGAGGAGGGTAAACAACGAGCTCATAATTTTTTCAAGGACTTAGCACCTGAGCACTGGGCAAATTCATACTTCAGGTAATAACAGTTTCCTAAGGTGTTCCATTTTTGAAGTTTAGAATGGTAGTGATGTGAATTTTCAGTTTATAATGGTGACAATCTTCGAATTGTGTTTCATCTTCAATGTAAATGATGTGAATGTTCACATCTGCTAATGATGACTGATGTCATGTTCACATCTGTTAATTTGTCAAATAGTCATGCAATGTATTACAGATTTGAATGTTGACACGTGTCATATTTTGTTGTTGTTGTTAACATTCACATCTGTCTATCATTTAAGTTGACAACGTAATGAGCATATAATGTGAACATTCACATTATATAAACCTGGTAGCAGATGTGAACATTCACATTATTATACCCTGATGTGAATGTTCACATCAGTGTACACTAATGGCAGTACTGTGAACGTTCACATCTGTCAACGTGAATGGTCAGGCCTGTTAAATTTCGTATTGTACAATGTTTGTGATATATTGTGCAGGGGCATGCGTTATGGGGAGATGACATCCAATGCGGCGGAGTCATTTAATAACTGGATTAAAGAAGCACGGAATCTTCCTATCACTCAAATGGTGGACAAAATTCGTACTTAGTTGATGCGGCAAATGTCTGCACGGCGTGACTAAGCAAACAAATGGAATGAGATTATTTGTCCGACATTCGAAACAAGGCTTATGGATTCGTTCAATGACAGCAAGTCTTGGCAAGTTAGCAAAGCCAACGAGGATGTGTTTGAAGTTCATTCGATACCATCGGTTACAGTTGATGTTGCGAGGCGTACATGTTCATGCTTCAAATGGCAAATCAACGGATTCCCGTGTGACCATGCTGTTATTGCCATTCAAAAGAGCCGCTACAATCTCAATGATTGTGTAGAACATTACTTTCATGTAGAGACATATCGTGCAGCCTATTCGGGAGCCATATTCCCTATACCATCGGTGGAGAAGCCGCCTTTTGATCCCACGGACTTCACTATATACCCGCCAACCGTGAAAAGACCACCCGGAAGGCCGAAGAAGAATAGGATCCCATCAAGGGGTGAGAAACTGAAGCAAATAAGGTACGGGAGATGTGATAAGTTGGGGAGCCATAATCGAAAATCATGCACGGAGCCGATATAAGATGTACCTTTTTTCATTTCAACATTGTATTTTACATTGGATTCTTATATTCATTTTTGAAATAAGATTGTGTTGTGTTGGCAAACATTGTGTTGCAATAAGATTACGTTGCGTTGGCAAACATAATAATGCATTAGTGTTTGATTTGTGTTTTATTTTTACTTTTTTAAGGTACCAATCTGACATTTATATTGGTTGTGTTTTGGATGAATGCATGCTGTTAACATTCACACTATGTGAATGTTCACATTGTTCAACTCTAACAATATTTAATTTTAAAATTTTAAATCACAATCAAAATATTTAAAATTGTAAAATTATTTCTATTTAATTATTTACTTTATTTTTATGTTTGGGTTCTCAGAGCATCTCCAATGGAGCTGCTATATCAGTTGTCAAAGCTAAAAAATGACAGAAATGGCAAAAATCAGTCTCCAATGGTCTGCTATTTCCCTTGCCAAAGATGGCAGATGCCATATGTGTTCTCAAATATGGCAAGTGAAATAGCAGATGCCAACATTGCCAGATCAGCAAAATCCAACAGAAATTGGCACCAAATTCAGTTGAGAAAACAACAGAATTAATCTAGTAGGGAAGCTATTTTCCAAAATCAGACCCAATTTTTACAATCAAGCAAATTTCACATGAAGACAGATCATGTATTTATATATATATGATCATTGGAGATGAAGACAGCTTGTATATATATATGATCAAAATCAAACCCAGTTGGGCTTTTTTTCATCAAAATTGATGAAAAATGAAATTTGAGATGATAAAGTAATTTTTAGATAAAAAATTTAATAAATGATCAGAGATGATCTAAGATTTGAGGCAATTTCTACCTACACTCTTTAAAATCTTGCAGTACTCACCATATAAATTGTAACACTTGCACTTGAAAAAGAAAGTCATTGTACAAATAAACATGGGGAGATATTTAATATGTGTATTAATGTTTTTTGTGATGGGATGTGTATTAATGTTTGAATACATAGATACCATTGTAATTGACCAGAATGCTCCTTGTGGTGAGAGCAATATCTATAAATAAACATATGAAATTTTATAAAATTAGATCTATTGACAAAATCTATAAAATAATATTTATTCATATCTATTATGTATCTATTTTTATATTTATAATTTAGGTTTCGTTTTGGGAACAGATTTTTTTAGTAATTTTTTGACTTTTTAACTAAATATGATGTAAAAAAATTAATATGTTTTGGATGAATTTTTGATTTTTTACAGTTGGGTCATGCACATTGAGATTGTATTTTTTTTTTTTTGGATACACATGACATGATTGTCAATGTTCACATCACAGAATGATCGTACACTTTCTTCTATTTTAAACCATACTACATGGATGGAATATTGCTTAAAGTGTTCATGTAACACAATATGACAGGTGTGATTATGATATTTCTTAACACAAGTCAATATTCACATCTAACAATTTGATGATGTGAATATTCACATCATAACTTCTGATTATGCGAATGGCAACAATGATGTCATGAATATATCACATCTTATGAGTTGATGATGCAAATGGTTACATTGATGTAAACATTGCTGTTAACAGTAACAACAATGTGAACATTCCCACCACAGAAATGTTTGAAAGTTTGAACAATGTGAACATTCACATAATGTGAATGTTAACAGCATGCATTCATCCAAAACACAACCAACATAAATGTTAGATTGGTACCTTAAAAAAGTAAAAAAAAAAACACAATCAAACACTAATGCATTATTATGTTTGCCAAGCGTAATCTTATTGCAACCCAATGTTTCCCAACACAACACAATCTTATTTCAAAAATGAATATAAGAATCCAATGTAAAATACAATGTTGAATGAAAAAAGGTACATCTATATTCGGCTCCGTGCATGATTTTCGATTATGGCTCCCAACTTATCATATCTCCCGCACCTTATTTGCTTCAGTTTCTCACCCTTGATGGGATCCTATTCTTCTTCGGCTTCCGGGTGGTCTTTTCACGGTAGGCGGGTATTAGTAAAGTCCGTGGGATCAAAAGGCGGCTTCTCCACCGATGGTATAGGGAATATGGCTCCCCAATAGGCTGCACGATATGCTCTACATGAAAGTAATGTTCTACACAATCATTGAGATTGTAGCGGCTCTTCTGAATGGCAATAACAGCATGGTCACACGGGAATCCGTTGATTTGCCATTTGAAGCATGGACATGTACGCCTCGCAACATCAACTGTAACCGATGGTATCGAATGAACTTCAAACACATCCTCGTTGGCTTTGCTAACTTGCAAGACTGCTTGCATTGAACGAATCCATAAGCCTGTTTCGAATGTCGGACAAATAATCTCATTCCATTTGTTTGCTTGGTCACGCTGTGCAGACATTTGCCGCATCAACTGGGTACGAATTTTCCACCATTTGAGTGATAGGAAGATACGTGCTTCTTTAATCCAGTTATTAAATGACTCCGCCGCATTGGATGTCATCTCCCATAACGCATGCCCTGCACAGTATATCACCAACATTGTACAATACGGAATTTAACAGGCCTGACCATTAATGTTGACAGATGTGAACGTTCACAGTACTGCCATTAGTATAACAATAATGTGAATTAATTATGTGAATGTTCACATCTGCTACCAGGTTCTAATAATGTGAATGTTCACATTATATGCTTATTACCTTGTCAACTTAAATGATAGACAGATGTGAATGTTAACAACAACAACAAAATATGACACGTTCAACATTCAAATCTGTAATACATTGCATGACTATTTGACAAATTAACAGATGTGAACATACATCAGTCATCATTAGCAGATGTGAACATTCACATCATTTACATTGAAGATGAAAACACAATTCGAAGATTGTCACCATTATAAACTGAAAATTCACATCACTACCATTCTAAACTTCAAAATGGAACACCTTAGGAAACTATTATTACCTGAAGTATGAATTTGCCCAGTGCTCAGGTGCTAAGTCCTTGAAAAAATTATGAGCTCGTGTTTACCCTCCTTTTTAATTTTGCAAGCTTTCATGGAACCCACCAAGTTGGCTCGTAGGCACAGTCACCCAATACTTACTAGGTGATCCCTGAATCCATTATCAATTCCTTTCATCCGGTCTCTAAATTGCTCTTCAAGTGTTAAGCAATAACCGTGATGAGCCGATGGGAACACTTTGGCATACTTCTAACAGACCAAGATTACGATCCGAAATAAAGTAATATGGCGCTTCCCATCAACAACCTTCCCAAGTTCATGCAAGAACCACGACCAATTAGCCGTGGTCTCCGAATCAACAATTGCAAATGCAACAGGAAAAGACCTACAACACAACACCAATACACAACTGTTCACAATATTCCAAAGTGAATAGAAAAATAGTATAAACGAAACAGGTCATGTGAATGTTCATATGTACATTGCCCTCTTTACTATTGCTGTTTTTGGATTCAGGTTCGTAAACATCAACGATGTGAACATTCACATTAACGACCATTAATAATTCATTGTTGATTGTTGAGTCACTGAAAATGTTAACATTCACAGTACTGTTCATTAATAGATCAACTAACATTAGTATACACTGATGTGAACATTCACATCAATCTGTAATAAGTCTGATGTGAACATTCACATAGTCTGATGTAACATTTCTGTCATTGCATACAAAGATGTGACATTCACATCAGTGCATACTAATGTCACTGATGTGAATGTTCACATTACTTATAATTTAGCAATCACTCTTTCGTCCAGACTACGCTGCTCAGAGCGAATATTGACATGAATAGACAGGTAAAAAAACTTCTAACCATTGTTCCCGTCTTTCCCGTTGCCGCAAGTAGCTGACCTTTGTACTTTCCTTTGAGGAATGTTCCATCCAGGAATAATAAAGGCGACAAGCATTGAACCCAGAAATACACGAGCAATGACACAAAGAAGCGACAAAACTGTTGACTACTCGCATCATAGTCAATATTGACATAACTCCCCGGATTGTACGCATACAGCATCCGAATACCACCACAACTGGTCAAACGATAAGAGTGATCTCCATGGATACCAGCCTTTGCTTTCTCCACACCCAACCATACGACATGGTAACTCACATCTAGCCCATAATCCCTCTTCAAAATAGTCACCACTCACACGGCCGAGTCAACGGCTTGTCCCTCACATTTCAGATATGGTACTCGACACCAAATCCGAACTAACTCGCGGATTCTTCGATGTTCGAACATCCGTACCACAAGTATGCACATCAGTAAACCTCTTGATGTAGAAAAAATCATTGCTCGTTGTGCTCTACAATGTATAGCCCACAAGCACCCCCTCTCCTCCCGCATCGCACACACAGAGTAACTCTTGTTGTCTCGTTCTTCACGTATGTGAACTTAACCCACTTGGATGGATACTTACATAAAACGTCACGAAATTCTTTGCACCTCCAACAAACCGTTGTCCTACATGCGTAATACCATTTGCCCAAGGGGCTGACAACAACACCTTCTCCTTATGGTGGCAAAATCTCCGTAGTGCATCAATTTCATCCTCAACCCCCACACGCAGCAATCCCAAACTACTTGACTGACACAATATCACCCTTCAACTCAACCACAACTTCTACATGTTGTACCCCCATTGATTTAGCAAGCAGTACCAAGTTCTGAAATTCTTCCTCATTGTCCAAATGACACTTATTAATCCCAGGTAGTTTACAGAACAATGAAATAGAACCAACAGACAACTCATCCCATTTCTCACACAAACAACTCCACCAAACGAGAATAACACATTGCGCGGCAACATTTATTACAGTTTGTACTACAACCATATGTACACACCAATAGCATAAAGGTATCCATCTCCTGTAAAAACACAAAAACAACAATGAACAGTAATGAAAATCGATATGAAAATTCACATTGTGCAAAAATAGATGACTACGTGTACATTTCAACTGCTAAATCCATAATCACAAATATGAAGATGTGAACATTCACATTACTATTAACAAGATGTCAACATTAAGCAAACATCAAAGTCCAATGACAACATCAACAATCTTCACAAATATAATGATGTGAACATTCACATCAGTGTATGATGATGTAAACATTCACATCATGTATAATGATGTGAACATTCACATCAGTTTATGATGATGTAAACATTCACATTATATTAACAAGATGTTAACATTAAGCAAGCATCAAAGTAAAATGAGAACATTAACAATCTTCACATAATATTAACCAATCTTCACAGAGCCTCATTAAGCAAACATCAATTTAAAATGAGAACATCCACATTCTTCACATATTCCACATTCACAAAAGTGCAGATTCACATTGATTATATATACTGATAATCAAATCATCCACACAGAGCCTCATTACGCATGCATCGAAGTCAAATGAGAACTACACCAATTTCACATAATACGAATGAACTCCCTCCACATAACCACGTAAAATGCATATAATTGAAAAAAAAACGAGCATTCAATCCATATAAATCCAAAAACAAGCATCTGATCCATTATACGAATGAA